ATGTCAGGACAGCTGTATTGAGCTACCCAGCGCTCCAGAAAAGCTTTCGCAGACCGACAATAGCTGTGTTCCTCGATTTCAAGAGTGCGTTTGCTTCAGTCGATCGATGCATTCTGTTCGAAATACTCGTATGTCCAATGAGAGAGACCTGCGTAGTAGATCAACCTCAGGATGGTTGAGTTGCGCTGTGGCCATGTCTGCCAAGTAGATAGCAGTGCCGGCGTCAGTGGAAATAGCTTGGATGCGGGAAAGTGCATCGACGACGGCGTTGTGCACACCTGAGACATGCCGTATATCGGTCGTAAACTGAGCGAGACGGTCAAGGTGGCGCGACTCTCTAGGAGAGTATCGGTCGGTAGTCGAGCCGAGCACGTAAGTCAGGGGTTTGTGGTCGGTGAAGACGACAAAGGAGCGGCTTTCTAAGACGTGTCGAAAGTGACGTATCGCTAGATATACAGCTAGTAGTTCTATACTGAACGTGCTGTAGCGAGATTCAGTAGGTTGTATGCGTTTGGAAAAAAACGCTAAGGGCTGCCACGTGTCGGCTAATCGTTGCTGCAAAACAGTGCCGACTGCCACGTCCGAGGCGTCGGCATTGAGGGACAGTGGGGCGGCCGGATCGTGATGCACTATAGAAGCTATGTTGGCGACAGCCTCTTTCAGCGACTTAAAAGCAGCGCGTGCTGAGGCAGCAAATTCGAATTTCTTGAGTTTTCCTCGGAGAAGGTCCGTGAGGGGTTGCATCAGCGAGGCGCATTTGGGTATAAACCGTTGGTAAAAGTTGACAAGCCCGTCAAAACGCCTGAGTTGTTTGAAAGAATGAGGCTCGGGGTAGTCGACGATGTCTTGAATTTTATCCTGCAGTGGCACGACGCTTGCAGAGAAGATACGATGGCCGAGAAAGTTGATTGAGTCGAGACCAAACGAACACTTTTCTGCGCTGATCGTCACCCCGTGTTGAGATAAACGATCAAAAAGTGCTCGCACGTGGCGCATGTGCTCTTCTCGTGGAGCTCGCGATTAAAGTGTCGTCGAGATAAGCGTAAGCGAAGTCTAAGCCGTGACAAACTTGGTCGATGCAACGCTGAAAAGTTTGCGCGGCCTTCTTTAAACCAAATGGCATGCGCAGAAACTCGAACAAACTAAATGAAGTCGTCACGGCAGTTTTAGTGATGTCCGCTTCGGCTACCGGACTCTAAATGGGAATTTTCAAGTTACCGGAATTTGGTTGTATGCGCGGACCAAGTCGATTTTGTTGAAGATAATTTTACCCGCCAGACTGGCGGTGAGATCCACTATGTGTGGGATCGGGTAGTGATCAGGCGTGGTAACCGTATTCAAGGTTCGATAGTCACCGCAAGGACGCCAGTCCCCCATGACCTTCTTCGGGACCATGTGCAGAGGCGACGCCCAAGGAGTGTTGGACGGTCTGACGATACCGAGCTGAAGCATGTGGCCGAACTCAGGTCGTGCTGCACGTAGTTTATCAGGAGCAAGCCGTATTGTTCTTGCGCTAACTGGCTGACCACGCGTAACTATGTGGTGAGTGACCTCTGTCGTGACTGGCGGAAGCTCTGCAGCTGTACGTACCAGTCGGGGGTATTCAGACAATAGGTTCGCATAATCTGATGGTACATGGACGATTCGAAAAACGGGACTGATTATCGGGGCGTCCGTAAGAACGCCTTCGACCCCTAGTTTAGTACGGTCGTCTAAAAGTCTGTGGCGAACAGCATCAACAAGCAGTCCAAAATGTCGGAGGAAATCGATACCGATAATTGCGAAGGGTACAGATGCAACCATGAAGGCCCAATGAAAACCTCGGCAAAGATTGAGGTCCAGGTTCATCGTGCGCTGACCGAATGAAGCTATCGGAGTACCGTTGGCCGCACGCAGATTGTACGTAGGCTCTGAGTGCTTGTTAGTAGCGGCCGCTGGGATGACGCTGACTTTCGCTCCCGTGTCGATGAGGAATGTGATGGAAGAACGTCGAGCCTTAACGTAAAACAGGCGATTTGCTTTGTTATTGACTGATACGTTGGTCGTGCTAGTATGCGGACTATTCGCTTTCCCTGAAGCAGCTGGGTCGTGCTTAATGCAGGGAGCCCGACAACGTTTAGCTCTTCCACCGTATTGGCGGTGATACCAACATACTTTTTCGACGGGTTTGGTATTATCTGACTGAGAATGTGCAGGGAAAATGTTGCGCTTTCGTGTCGAACGAGACGTATTCGGTGCAGGCACAGATGAGCCGCAATGAACGGTAGCCAAAACGTCGTCAGCATCTGACCATGGCACCCGCCGCTTCGAAGCCTTCATTGCTGCTATCCTGCTGCGAAGTAGCGCAAGTTCCTCGTCTTTAGGGTCAGATCGGCCTGACGACTGGGAGCGAATATGGAATTCGGTTTTCATTGGTGAGAATACGTCACCGGAGCCACTCGTCGTCTGCTGCGGAAACCGTTCGAACGCAGCGTCTGACTTGGTAGATAATTCTTTCAGGGGTATATCTATAAACATGGACAGCATTACCGGCAATGGCTCTGGGAGACGTGCAAAGCATAGCTCCTTTATCCCTTCTTCGCTCAAGAATAAGGTACCAGCGATGCGCTGAAGTTCGCAGAGCAACGCGGACGGCTTGCGATCTCCAAGCTTGAGATCATTGAGCTGTTCAAATCGAGCTCGTGCGCTGGGTCGTAACTCTTTTAAAATCGCTTGCTTCATCGTTTCATACTTTGCCTCATTCGATGGGCAGAGTAGAATGTCCTCAATCAGCGTCACAACCGACGAATGAAGGCGTGGGACGAGCTGATTGTACCTCGGACGGTCCGCCGTAATGCCCTTATTTTCCAGTTCGATCTCGAATGTTGTAAACCAGACCTCCGGGCTGTGTTCTATGAAACTTGGAATGACCAAAGCAAGCTGTTTACGCTGCGAAACGACTCAGATGCCACTCTCGAAATGTGAGTCGAAAGATAAAGGATGAACAAAAACACGATAAAATTACTAAAATTACGCAAGAAACAAATAAATATAGGTATATAATCGAGAAAAAGGAACGAACTCACCAAAAAATACAAACGAGGAAAAAGTTGAATTCGCGCGTGCGAATCGGGGTCACCAACTTGTAGGACTAGTTAATACTAGTCCGAGACGGTGCGCGAAATTAAGCGCGGAATATCAGAAGGCAATTGGAGTCGGACACAGCGGACTGTATTCGATGGGCTACAAGAAGACGCTGACGGATGAAGCCAGACAAGAGCGAACGTGTGAGCGTAGGAAGTTACAAGGCGGTCGAGTGTCGAGCCGGTTGTGACGAAGATTAAAACAAGAAGGAACACTGTACAATCGGTCAACAATTAAACTGTACATGAAAGATATCAGTTATCTTTTTGGGCGCTATAATAAGTCCCGTATACTGGTTTGAGTGAGAAAAAGATAATTGAATCGCCATAAGCCTCAACGGAATAGTCGACAATAAAGAAAAGACTAGCTATATAGAGGAACGAAAGAAGCTTCCGAGAGCGAAAGAAGGTTACGTTCGAGTCCAGATTCAGAAGTAGGTATATACAAAGTAGTCACTGTGCGGCAAACAAATTGACCTATGTTTCCGGGTGCAAATGAAACTATAGTTTGGTACTCCTTTAGACATCATACGGGAAATCTTCAGGTCATTAGAGTGTGCATCATTGTCCCCATCAACAACCGCGCTCATGACTACTGCCGGCTTGCGATACTAACCAGCAGCTTATGCTAACTGTTTATGAGGGACAGCGGCGGACCATCATGATTTGAAATAACTGGGATATAGCAATATGTAGAACCAATTTGCGACCACCATAGTCTCACCCTTGTCAAAGGTCCACTTCTAGGTTGGTCAGTCTCATCAACCGGCATGCATTGGTGTATCTGTCCTCTTGCCTATATTCTGTGCCAAAGTTACGTACCACGACTCTCTTACTGTGTGACTTAGTATCCCACCTCTAGTTCATTCACGTCTTACCTCGTTTTCCTTCCAATCCAAAAGTAACACTATTGACACAAACTGTTTCCACTGATTTAATCGAGTTGTGGGACTCTCACAGCTTTGTACAGTTAAGTATGCCAGACCTTACCGCAGCAAGTTTTCACTGGCGGACGCATACCCCTATCACCATTGGCTTATTTGGAATCTCCCTATAAGCCCTGTGTCTCGCATTGATTCCATTGTTGCTTTCATGCGAATGAGCTCACAGATCGCTCCTGGATCCGAGCGCGAATTGTTGGTATATTTTTGGGTTTGGAAATCGTTAAGGTAATGTCTATGAATTTGTACAAATAGCACCTCTATCTCAGGGCCGGACTTGATTTTTTGCTGAATATTCCGGTGGGATACTAGTGGCTTAAACTTCCAAACGCTTTGTAACGTTACACAGTATTCATTTTGAACTCGATAATCTTGCGTGCACGGCCGTTTCAATAGCCACCAATCTAGTTTTCATTTGCCTCACATCCGACGGCAATTTGTAAAGGATCCTGACAAACTAGGTAGCACTAGCACTGCCGTTAGCCTTATGCCATGTTTGTTGTGCCAAACAGTGGTTATTTATAATAAAGTATTATCACACTTCTTTGTGAGACTGAGGCTGCTAAAGATAAACAAATGACTTATTCCAATGCTCGGATGGTCATGGATGTAACGTGCATTGTTCATATCGCAAAGCGAAAAGGTGAAGGATGAGGTCCGGAAGTCCAATCGCAAAATAACTCGGTAGCTGATAATGCTCATCATTGGGAACCCGAATAGGATGAAATGATCGTCTAGTGGCTACCCGAATTACAGATTAGCCTGTCTTGTTTGTGAGTAGATAGGATGAATGAGTAAACCTTCGTCAAAAATCCTACTACTCATCAGTAGTGTTCGTGTGTACAGCATGTAACTGCCCTTTCCTCAGTGACAACTAAGAATTTATGGTAACAAATAAACTAACCACCAGTATAACTGCATCCATTTCAATAATGGGAACAGTCGAAGCATTCCGAGCACGTGGACGAAATACACACAAGGGAACTTGAGACGATCACAGGAACAAAGAGCCAAATCAGAACGCCTGAGATGTAAGATGGATGATCTAATGAAGACTACGAGCGCTGCGGTCTATAACCAATTCACTGTGGTAAACAACGCACTCCGGGCCAGGATATTGGAAACGACCTGCGCACGGGATCAATTAAGGAGCGCATTAAAGAAGGTAAGTAACTTCGGGCTAAAGTGAGCGTTGAATTTTAGGTTTCGCTGGAATTATGCGATATGGAAAAATTGGCGAAAATGCTTCAAGATGCCATCGAAGATAAGATGGAACCACTAAGGGTAGCGGAGACCAGACTTATGGAGCGAACGAAGCGGCAGAATGTCGAATTATGCCATGATGGCGCAATGAAAGCGTAAGTTTTCTTATTTCTGAACAGTAATAATAATAACATCTTGTGTCAGCTGTACGGTATAACGACACTTCGCTGACGCGCGACCACCACCAGTCGCGCGTGGGCTGAGTATATCGCGAAGAACCCCTTTCCAACGCGGATACGAACCGGTGACCCTATGATTACAAAGCAGGCGTGTAGACCACTCGGCCACAGGCAGGAACTAACCAACGGAGTTGCGAGCAAGTTCGAGTTCAAGTTCAGGTGGGACTGGAACGATAGGATGAATCCCGTAAGCGTTTCATACTGAGCGGGTCGCCGATCCAGAAGTTGATAGGGGTGTTCCGACTTCTTCGTGGATCTAAAACGAAAACACCCTGGTCCACCAATTTAATGCCCACGTTCCTTGCATTGGCAGTCCCTGCTATGCCGGTTAGGTGAAGTAAGTAAGAGAGGAAGCAAAATCGAAGGTAAAGGTTAAGGGAAATCAGTTAAAAGAAGAGAATAATACCACTGGTGAGGGAAAGTACAGAAAATGGAATCGAAGTGTGAAGATGGGAATTAGTCTGGAAAAAGGAAAGGTTTCTTGTTGCCACCCAAGAGCATCTAATTGATGCACAAACACTTTAACCGTAGTTCCTTGATAATATTTTCTAGAAGCGAGTTACAACACTCGATTACTCGACGCGATAACTGTGCCTCCGCTTTAACTAGATCGGACCGCGGCTTATCCAGCTTCATACGATGCCCGCGGATTTCAGATAATCTAGCAGGACTAACTAGCCGGGACAAATCAGGGCCAACCTTCCCAGTCAAAATACAGTAGCTTGGGCTTAGGTCCCATCTAGTTCTTCGATAGTGCATTGAATGGATCCCCAAACTAAGTAGGCTTTTGTGGTACGTTTGTCTTCGTGACCCATCGACCAACCTAGTACCGACACGCAACACGCTTTCTAGTGCCATTTTGTCCCGGACAAGACATGGTGGATAGGCCTGGACGCAATATTCTAGGTGGGGTCGCACGAACGCTGAGAAGAGCTTCACCAACATATTAGCGGTTAGGGTCCCGAAAGAATGACGGAGAAGCCACAACATCCAGAATCCTTTACTAGCCGCCTTCTTCCAGTTGTCTCCAGTGTGTAGAGTGGAACAGTGGACGACACCTAGATCAACCTGATGAGTCACGTGAGGAAGTTCACTCCCATCGAGCACATAATTTGTGGAGGAATCGGTCGCTACGATACGCAGCACTGAACACCTTTCCCGGTTTATTGGCAGCAACCACAAGACAGACCATGTCGAGTCTATCCAGAGCCTGTTGAAGAGCCACAGAACCTCCAGGGACATGAACAATATTCCAGCGCTTTAGGTCATCAGCAAATAAGAGCGATGGCACCTCAAGCTCCCTCGGCAAGTCATTCACGTAGACTGAGAACAGCAACGGACCTAGGACAGATCCTTGCAAAACGCCGTTAAGGAAAGCTTGACGAAACGAAAGATGGCTACCAACACGAATACACTGTTCCCATCCATCCAGAAAAGCTGACAGCCACTGGAGAGCGCGACCAGATATTCCAAAAGACCTCAACTTCAGAGAGAGTCGCGAATGGGGGACAGTGTCAAAGGTGTTGGTGAAGTCAATGAACACCACATCCACCGCATGTCCACTGTCTACGACTCTCACGAGCTGCCATCAAGTTCGTTTGACACGGAAATCCTTTGCGAAAACCAGGTTGCTTGACACTAAGCAGGTTAAATCTATTCAAATGGTTCTTCACTGTATCACTTATTAAGTTTATAAATAACTTAACGACCACGCTAGTCCAGCTGACAGGCCTGTAATTAGCCGGTGGGTCTTTGTCACCTCACTTGAAAATCGGTCAGACAGCAGCCTCCTTCCATTCGGCATGTAAGACACAGCTGTTGAGTGCCTTCTGAAACACACAAGTCAGAGGTCCACTGAGTTCCACTGTCAATTCGTGTAGCAATTTTGGATGAACAGAATCTGGCCCGGAATACTTAGTTGGGTTCATCTCTCTCAACAACCGGAGAAATTGAGACTCAGTTACAGGAATTTCATCCTGATAAATGTCCTGAGACGCTTGAACCTAGTTCTCTGCATGGCGTATTTGTTTCGCGGACAAAGACGCTTAAGTACTGCTCACCAAGCACGCATGTCTTGTCATAGTCACTATAGCCATGGGTCCCCTCTCCTCGAAGAAATGGTGGTATGAGCGAGTTTGCACCACAGCGTCGTTTAACATAGGCGAAGAATTTCTTGCGATTTGTCGAGGCAGTATCAGTTAAGCCCCTTTCGTACTGAAGCCGGGCCAATCTAAGACGTAGCTTACTCTCATTTCGAATAAACTGACACCTGTTAAATGTGCTGTTCGACGGAGCTGTTCGATACGCTCGCCAGCATCTAGACCGCTTCTTTAGTAAGCCCTTCATCGCAGAATCAATCCACGGAGGCTGCGCTCTCGATTCTCTCCATTTCATCAAGAAGATGTGAGGTGCAGAAATGTCGACCAGGTGAGTCTTAAGTTTTTCCTAGGCTATGTGAACCGTGCCGGTTTCATATATCACACAAGGCGATGACCTAGCTTTATCCCGCATCGCTTGGAATTGCGCGGCGCAAATGTTCTGATACCAATTGATAGTAGCTTGGCAAGGTCTGATAAGGATAAAAGGGAAACATAAGCAAACGTGATCACTGGCGCCAAGAGGCGAGTCGTAAGTAATGTCATTTACAAACGCAAGTGACTTTTCTAAAACTAGATCTAAACTGGACGGCTGCTGATTTCTCAGGTACCTAGTGGGGAGGTCCACGAACTGGTGTAATGTTACATGCAGCATCAAGTCTAGCAGTTCTGCACTGAACGGTCCCAGCGCCGAACTATAAGATAAATCATCCCAACAAACCTCTTGGAGGTTGAAGTCTCCCAGCACCTGACACTTGTTCGCAGAGTGAGTGCGTATAAACTCAATGGTTCCATTGGAGGTGCTCATACAATAAGACAACCGTAAGCTGAACTGAGGAATCGCAAATCAAGACTGCGAGAGCCTCAACAGATTTATCGAGAGACTGAAAAATGCTGGTCCTCAAAACGTCTATGTGAGAACTAAAATAAAATGCTACGCTACCCCCATGACTGTCAATGGAGCGGTCAGCGAAGAACACTGCGTAGCCAGGAAGATATACTTCGCCATCTGTGATTTCATCAGGCAGTAACGTTTCAGTGAAAGCTAGTATATCTGGACGAGATTTGTCCACGAGCAGACCCACCTCGCACATGTTGTTCTTCAGGATACGCATGTCACTACGTACTGCTTGGAGGACTTTGGTATGACCCTCTCTGGTTCGTGCGTAATTGGAATAGGTTCTGGCAGGGTGGAAAAAAACCACCGGCTGACCACCTGAAAACCCACTAATCCGAGACTTTGCACACCAGCTGAACGCCGGGCTATTAGGTCTCTGGTAGCTTCCTATAATCTATCGGCTAACGGAAGATCTGGTTGCACACTAACTTTTGTACTTTTGTGCTTGAAGGTAAATCGCAGTAAGGCCCTGCGCTCTTCTGTGGTGGAGCGAACCACCCTAAGCAGATGGGGTCGAGGATTTGAGTTACCAACCGGGACGTTCCTCATCCTGATGAGCTTTCTGACAGTAACGCCAAGGAAACCTGGTGGTAAAAGCTTGGTCACGCAAAATTTAAGCCAACCAAAATCATAAAGTATGCGCTCGATGGAAAGAGTGGCAGTGGATTCAGTGACGTTTCTCCACTTTCGCTGATCCGTTTCTGTATTTATTAAAGTAAAATAGTTAGCTGCGAAACCGTAAGTTCAAAATTAAAGACTTCGACATCGGATAGAGAGAGGACGGGATGAACAGCAAACAAATTGAATGAGTACCAAAATGTTCAGATATGTGTAAACGACCACACACGTAAATAAGTGATTTTTTCCTATTCACTTCACAGGCTTCAAATCGAAGTGGCGGAGATGCACAAGTCTCTTCAAGCTCTCAAGGAACGCTTACGCCATGCTCAGATCAGTACATCTCGTTTGAAGCGAAGCCAAGAATCATTGAAAGAGGATATTGCGATCAAGGAGAATTCCATAGAGATTGATCAACGATGTTTGAATGCACGCAAAACATACCCGATCCAAGGCAAACCAGGCAGTTTACTATCGCTTCCCGTTTCTTACTAACGTGGTTTTTTTACAGAAAAGGTAGAAAAGAACAAGCAGTATTATATCTTCATCTGCAAAGCGATAAAAAAGGATAAACAAGCACATAAATTAATGAAAGATGAAAGGAATAAATATGTAAAAATGATGGACAACCGTTTCCTCAGGTCGGACGCTGTCCCGCGGTGTACACCACCTAAATAACACTAGGCACGAAAATGCAATCTCGATTCTTTGAGCAATGGGTTTAGACCGCAAATTTATGGTAAAGATCATCGAATAAAGTAAGTGGATGAATGTACAAGACGCATCATTAAGGTAGTTTCCAGAATTCGGTCTGCGGACGACTTTCGAAGGAAGTAAAGGGCATAACCGTGAAACGATTGTTAATTAACGACAACCAAGCTGATCACAGTAGAGATTCATGTCACACGAGTGAAGCTATACTACTGCGCATAAATTAGTTAGTAGCTTTTGTAAAGTGATAGTCTAGCCGAATAGCGGATCAACACCGGGGCACGCAAATTTCCAAAATCAAAGCTACTAAATGATAGTCTACGAGGAATAATGGCAAGAGTTAATAAAATCAGTAAATGCAATTAGTTCAGGCAGCACCCTTTGTGCATCCCTCCAGGAACCGGAACAAAATCTTGGCCGGTTTCAAAGGTCTTTCATTCATGAACATACTGGTCAACTAAGCTGTAGGGAGAATCGGTCTGTCGTTGTTTTTGGTATCCAATAGGCTGGTATTATTCTGCGACTTAGACAGTCAATTATTTGTCACGTAGCCATACGCGATTTTATTTACGATTGCTGGGGTAAATCCCCTACTTATTTGTATTGAAAAACGTGCGCTTCGCTCGCACTAAGCCAAGCCAACGTCGAGCTCTCTATCCAGTCTTCGCAATCATCAGTAAGTTGGTGTCTCAACGGTGGGTGCATTGGCGGTGCGTGACTGGTTGTCTTCGGCCTAGCAGTCAGCAACACAACTCTGCGCCAACTAGGTGGAAACTCGCGAAATTAACGGAGGTTGGACGTAGTGAGAGGTTATAGTGGCGTGCCGAATTCCCTCTCAGGAGCAGGTTATGTACTCAAACGTACGTAGAATAAACCAGTTCAAATCAAGTCAAAATAAGCTTTAAGAGTCAAGATGACTTCATTTTCAACGTTCACACCAACGTTGCTGATGGGCGGCAAAATGATAGCGTTGAAAAAACAGGTGAGGAGAAAAACGAGACATATACACAACCCCCAATTCTGACAACCGATCGCAAAGTATGCTTGTATATTGCTAAGGTCGACAAGCCAATGCGTTAAGTAAAGCAGATAATACTATGGCTCGATGAAGTGCAGGAATATAAATTTTGAAATTAAGGAAGACAATGTTTCGGATGGCCATTGCGTAATATATGAAAATTATCAGTCGGGACATCGGCAAACCAACTAGCAAATCTTTAGATAAACCTGTGGCGACGTCGGTCGGCTCTAGCTAACCGAGTTGGAGTATCCGCTTGACTATCGGCAAGTACCATATCTACTACTTGAAGAGAAGGCTGAGAAGAGACGGGACGAGATTGCGTTGCTAGCGCATGCAATGATCCCTGTATTGGCTAAAAACGACACAGAACACCGCGTAGGGATGTGAGGAACCGCGCGAATAAGCATATTATCGCATCCAACCTTGACGGCATATGTCAGTTGGTATGTATTCGGTCAGACACAGAAGTTCAACATACATTTAAGCATTTCGTACACAATCACTAGATGTGCAATAAGATGGCATTCTCATTTAGCAATTTACAGAACTCAATAACCGCTACAAGCCACTAAATCTACAAATGGACTTTATAGATCTTACTAATAAGATGTAGTCTTTCTATCAAAATCGTACCAACTTACGGAGAGCAAGAGAGCGATTGGGATAAGGTTAAGCAAACATATTTCAGAGACGTTTGAAAACAACCGATTGGTATAGTTTGTTGGCAACGGTTCGCTTTGACACAAAAGCTTCGTCAGGCTGACTGAACCAGTCGACGATTTGCATAGCACTTATGACGAAGTTGGATGATAGTCGCGACGAATGGAATGTGGGTAGAAGATCAATTGCGTTACAGGTCAAAGCGTCACTACAAATAGCGCATGGAACGGCCATACGTGGTCCGGGTTACAAGGTCACACGCGTAAGTTTTGTTAACGACGGGTGCGGGGATGATGTGATGTTCATTCTTTACCTTATATCCGTCTGCGGTCGCTCCTCAGACTGATCGGGTTAAGGCAGCTAGCCACACGTTCGAAAGCTCTGCTCCGTCCATCCTATCCACACGTCTGTTGCTAATACTGCGTACACATGTACATCGGCCAGATCGCAAAAGAGTAACGCACAACGATAGAAGAACACAAGAGACGCACAATACGACCACCGAGAAACATGCTTGAATACAGGGCTCTACTAAGGTATTCCGCAGTAGCGATGCACGCGATAGATACAGGATAACATCGAAATCGTTAGAAAGGGGTTACAATCAACGCCTCAAAGGTTGACTGTTGAGGAAGTTGAGATTAGCAAGATGAACAGATACATAAACAGAATGGACGGGCCACGGCTTTCGAATGTGTGGCAAGCTGTCTTAAGGCGATCAGCCTGAAGAGCGTCGGCGGACAGATCCAGGGTAGAGAAGAAACACCACATCATCCCCGCACCCGTCGTTAAAAAGGCTTACGCGTGTGACCTTGTAACCCGGACCATACGTAACCGTTTATTACGCAATGTGTAGTGACGTTTTGACCTGTAACGCGATTGACGTTCTACCCATATTCCATTCGTCGCGATTACCATCCCACTTCGCCATAAGTGCCATACCAATCGTCGACTGGTTCACTCAGCCTGACGAAGCCTTTGTGTCAAAAGCGAAAAGTTGCCCACAAACTATACTAAACGGTTGTTTTCAGATATTGCTGAAACCACGAGTTTTCGATCGGTTCCAAGTATTTTTCAAGATGTTAAGCAAATCTACTTGACAAAAGATAATAGGTGTGTGGGGTTGTCGCTCATAGTGAGAGCGGGGGGAAGCAGTTATAAAGACCGCAACACATCGCCACGAAAAAGCACATTACATCACTACCTTTAGAAGCATTACGAATAAGGTACTTGAATTAAAAGCACTCCGCCTCGCATTAAGGGAACCTAAATCAAGGGGACCATACGCCCGGGCACAACATCCTCCCTATACTTTATGCAACAAACATGCGCCGCATAGAAGTTAGAATATGGAGAAAATAGATATGGTAATAGGATCTCTTGCTGCAGAACACGCCAATCGGCAGGGAAAACTGAAGTTGTATCGCCGTTTAAATGGGGTAAGGTAACTACGACCTATAAAATAACCACGCAACAAATTACGCACACCCGGATGAGCTCCGCTCTCAGACACCAGATTGAACAAAATTTACATATCTAATAAAAAATCAGAGATGATTTTGATTCCACACAAAATAACCGAAGCCAGAAATGCTAAGCAAGCAAGCACAAAACTCTTGTGTTGGACGTTACAAAGTAAAGTATGAATAATAAAGTTAAACCCGTTGCCAGCTGTGGGATCTGTGTTTCTGAGATATCAGCGTTCTGCACTGTTTTAATAATGGTATCTTTTCTCATGGTGCCGAGAAGTCGTGCCCACTAAGGGACGGATCATACGTGTTCGTGGATTTCTTGTGAATTTGAACAATAGAACTGTTCTCTTTATTTGGATATTCTCATCAGTCGCAGGGAGAACGGACGGGCAAAATGGTCTGTCCATAGGAAAACAGCGTAGTTCGGCCATTATCTGCATTTCACCAGCTTCACGCCAATGCAGCAGAAGCGGAGGCTTATCAGGACCCAATTTAATCGTACCAGACAAATATATTGACAGATTATCTGGCCAATGAACTAAATCTGAGGACTAACAGGTTAATTGCTAACGGTTATCGTCGGAGATTCAGCCAGAAGGGCAGCGAAATCAGCCAGGCAATAGGCCAGGAGCCCACTGTTTCTAGAAAAAGATATTCTTATAGATGCTAATTAAGGATAATATTTCTACACCGCAGATAACAAGACGTTCAAGCTGTGGTACGCAAAACATTTTCTGTGACGTCGGCAAACCCATAAGTTGCCACTGCCCCCCACTGGGGGAAATTTAATTTGTTGGGACCAACTCCCAAAGTATACCAATTCGTATGTAACTCCCGAGCTAGTTACATAGGCAGAACCGACAGGGTACTGAGCTTCCGAAAGAAGAAGTACATGTAAAATAGGTTCAGTGCGATACTGTGTAGCAAGTAGACTCAAGTCAGACTACGTCTTCACGCAATCCACACACATATTGGATCAATAGACAATCGTTGACCTCGGGCCATCGGATTAAAGTCAACAATATGATGAACAACTACTCTACACGAGTTAGGATGCCCCAATTTACACGCTCCGTTGTGTGGTATGTTATGTTATCCAAAAAAGGTCGCAAGAAGTAGACATTAGTTTTACTGTTACGAGAGACATGGTTTTTGATGCAGTAGACCTGCAGTTGGCGTTGTTTCACTGATGCAATGGGTAACGAACATTAAATCAGTGGTGCTTCCAGGGAGTATGACAGAGAGTTGGTACTGAGTAACCAAATGTAAGTTGTTGGATGCGTCGTCCGACCGACTATTAAATATGGCTATTGTAGGTGCGTGCGCGAAAGATTCCGGGAGAGCGTTCCACAGGTGAAACACGGGAATAGGAAATAAATTTCTACGGCACTCCGGACGGCAGTACTGTACTGCCGGTTTCCAGTAGTGACCGCACCGTTTTGCATTACTGCTGAGCAGCAGTAAGGAGCGGCACACATGATTTCGATCATGCGAAATCAAGTATGTCGTTATCAGGTCAACTTGTAATCCGTGATGCCGTCCGCCAAATACTCCCAAACGTTTCAGCCTTTGTTCATATGGTAGACTGGGCATTCCAAGGATGCAGTTGAAAACAAGTCATTGAGGCTACTCCAGGCAGTGGGGTCATGTTTCACTCTTGGCTACCAGGTTTACATTGCGTATTTGACATAAAATCTAAGATACGCATTGAGCATCCGTCGGAAAACAGAAATGCATA